ACTGGTTAGTTATAAAGTATCAACAAGCTTGTATTTATTGGAGTAAATATTCACTGAGCCCCGTCCCCCCCCCAACCGCCCCGTCCCCCCGCAACCATCTGTCTTCCTGTTTAATTCTCCTCTGGACATAAGAGAATCCTTTCAAAAACAATACAAATATGACCTCATCACGGTCAGCCATGTTTTTTTATTATGTTATGTTACTTTGTTTGATACACTAAGAACACTTTAAATGTAATAGATCTCTGGTGTATGTAGTCAAAGCAGCGTGGACACAGGAGGACAGGAAGTGGTGGAAACACGACAACAGTAGATGAAGTGTAGAAGTGTTGAAGTCAACTTTGCCCCCACAGCCTGTTGTTCCTTGTAATCGTCCTTGTCTTCCAGTGATGATCGATGTAATCCACCTGATTCACATGTAAGCCGTGCCACAGTGTGGTGTCAGCTGCATGTAGAGTACTAGCGTGTAGACTGTGTGTGTGTTTCCCTGTCGTTTCCTGTTGTCAACAGTGGATTTCACACTTGGCTGGAACGCCGCTGCGGCCACGGAGCTGTGGACGTACGTATGTACGTTCGTGACTCGTGTGTGATTTCTTCAGCTGCCGGCAGATTTGGTGAAGTGTTTATAGATTTAGCCTCACAGTGGCTGAGTTATGCAGATGGGGTGGATTGACCTGCTGCGACCTTGGAGAAGTGCCCTGGCTGTGGATGACAGCGACCTCAGTACAGGCAGGATGTGCTGCAATGCAGCAGAGCAGATCAGATCAGTGGCGCTGCATGTACTCACACACACACACACACACACACACACACAAAGCTGCAGCTCATAACACTATAACAATAACTCTAACACACACACACAGTCAAAATATAGTTTTAGGGAAACCTGTTTAGGATCACTGTAAATATTTAAACACTTTGTAATACACTGGAAAACCTGCAAGGGTGTGTCTTCACTAACCTGCTGCTGACTGGCTGGAATACACACACCACCCACAAGTCTGCATATTAAACAGTACACACACACACACACACAAGCTAATACTTTGACTCTGCATTGACTCCTGTTTATCTATTACTACTACTACTACTGCTACTGCTGCTGCTGCTGCTGCTGCTGCTTCCGTTTGACTACTATATTCACAGAATTGCACAAAATGTGATAGCTAACGTTAGCTCTGGTGTCTGTACCAGGGCTGTTGTAGCTAATGTTACAATAATTACCCACAGATTCACCCATAGGAGGACAATAAGTCCAGCTTTTGCTAGACATTGCAAAGAGATTTAAACCAACCGTAAAGAGATCTGAGAATTCCACAGACATAATATCAAACTCTAATTACTCTGAGCAGTCAGATCAAACCAGATTATCATCAGTATCATCAACTCCACCCACAGCACAGTGATGCTGTGGGTGGAGTTGCCCCACTGTCATGCATGCACAGGTTCACAGACACATGAAAACACACACACACACACACATCAGCAAACAAACAAACAAGGACACAAATCCACTCGTGACCTTGAACTGACTTTGATTCATTTCCTGGAGGCGTGGCACATTCACCACATGACAGAGACAAATAGATGATGACTTGTGTTTTGTATGATAAAGGGGGAAATGAGAAATTGAATGTTTTTAGTCGATGAACTGACACGAGTGTCTGTGTTTGTTCCTTTGACCTTTCTTTAAAAATAAAGACCGTCTATAAATTCATCCTCAGTGACGCCATCCTGCTGCATCATTCAGCAGCATGTGTGTGTTAATCCGCTGCTGAAAACAGTCCCAGTAATTGCTCTGATGCTAATCCTGAGTTTCTCACATGCCATTTGTTTGAGAAATATCTTAGCCTTTTCGAGAACTAGAAAGACTTTGTGACCTGATTTTTGCAGAATTCTATCCTCAGTAGGAACAGATGGGACCTGAGCAGATGGGGGTCGGAAAATAGACTGTGGTTCTGTCTGTTCTGGTGTTTTTTGGGGGAATTGATGTCAATAGTGAATATATAGTCATCTCTATTGTTTAAAGACGCACAGACGCTGGGCGTTGGTAAACCCTGGGATGTCAGAGCAGACACACACTGCAGGAAGGTGACTCAGGCGGAGGAAGGAAGACTGGTCTGTTTTTGTTGCACTGATACAACAGGGTATTTTTTCCGTTCTGACGCAATTGTCTCCAAAATGACAGGATGAGGTAAAAAAAACAATATTCTGGAATGTAATTTGGCATGTAAGAGTGTGTAACCATGTGTGACGTGTTGGGAACACACTTTCAACAAACCTAGGCCTGGTCAAAGAGGTTGGACTGAGGACAGTCAGACACAAGTGCCCACTCAGTTGTTCTAAGCCAGGGTTCAAGACAACAAAGTATATCGTACCGTAGAGTATCGTATCGTCAGACCTGGAAGCTTCCAGTGAGGGTTCAGGGTTGTGAATAAAGTGGTGCCCAACTTATTCTTAACCCAGGGTCTACAATATGTCAGATTCACGTTGTTGGGCTATAAAGAAATGTATTTTCCAAGCCTCTGTTTAAAACCAATTAGATCCCGGCCCTGGCAGGATTAGGGTTAAATTAATGTTTTTAAAAAATCTTGGTTTTCCTTTTTATACCAACCCGGATTGATTAGTTAGTTACACCTGCAAATATTTCCTGACCCTTTTATGCTAATGACTTATAGATTTTCATTTTTGTCCTTCCATTCAAAAAATTAGCTCTGCATTTTAGAATCAGACCTCTGACTGCAGGATCAGAGGTCACCGCTCATTGACCTCCAAATCATTAACACGGAATAATAACCCACTCTATCACACTGTTAGATAAAGAAGTCTGTTTATTAATTGATATATATATATATTATATGCATTTGATATAATAGTTCTAATACCAGTAAGTCAAAAATAATAATCATATCATGTAGATATATATATATATATATGTGTATATAGAAAACTAATCCAATAATCTACTTTAACTCTGACTTTACTTCCTGGTAAAAAATAAAATAAAATAAAACAACATGAAGAAACCTATGATCTTCTCCCAGCTTTATACAGGGAGCCGGGGAGAAAAGACCAGAAGAAAAATTTACACCTGAAACGTTGCATCTTATAGAACTAGAACATCTGTCAGCAGCTAGTGGTGTGGACCATCTGGGTTTAAGACACAGGAAATGGTTATCTTCTTCACTAAAACATCTTTGACATTTTCGTTACTTAATATGTTTCAAAAGTTGAGTTCAACTGTCTGAGGAGAGACAGGGATACGAGGGTAGACAGAAATGGACACCTGCACGAAGTCTGTGACGGAGTGATTTCAGAAGACTCCGGGTGACCTTTGTATGGACCTAACCAGGACGTGGTACGAGGGAAGGTCAAAAAGTTGTAAGTGTTAATTGATGTTTAATTTCAAATGATATCCCACACATAAATGTTTAAATTTCAATCCTCAGTGTGAAATCTGTCCGTTGAATACTACAGTGTTTTTGGAATCAGGGCTATACCAACAAAATGGACTTTAAACAGTTTTCAAACGTCACATTTTTAACCAATCTGGAATGGACTCCTGTTCAATCGACTGAAGCTCATCATCATGTTTGAATCTAGAACCATCTGATTTTTTCCGTCCCTGGAATTATCAAAAATAAATCAGTTTGTCTTAGAACTTTTTGATCTTTACCTCCATTGAGTATCGATGAGATTGATGGGATTTAGAGACCGGAAGAGAAAACTTTAGCTTAAACCAGTCACATTATACACTTTATATGACAAAGGTCTAATGAAAATAATAATAATAAAAAAGAACAGCGTTGACAGATGACATAGTCGAAGGAGAGAAAGAGGAGAGAACGTAGGAAAACAGCTGAGAACAGCAGGATATAGAAAGTTTCATTGATGTGCTTCTCCACCAAGGATCTACGTCTGTAAACAGGGTGTAGCAGCACAGAACAGTGCAGAGCCTCCTCCATCTCCTCCCCTCCTCAGCCCTGACTGACCCGTCTCTCCAGGTGCTCTCCAGGAGGTAGCCGTGCCTGGACCAAACTCACCCGCAGCGCCGAGAAACTCTCTCCTCTCCTACGTCTCTCTGGATGTAGAAACAAAAACATGGAGGCAGGCGGTTTCAGGGCTGTGGACGTGGATGAAGCCATGTGGTGTGGTGCCACGGACGCTGGACTTCAGTGGTCCGCGGTGGGTCTGACCAGGCCAGAGAGGAAGCAGGGCTCCATGATCACAGGCCTCTCTTCACGCTGAGGAGCCAATCTTTTCCGTTTGGGGTCAAGAAGATGCGTCAAAGCTGTGGAGGAAGAGGAGGGAGAGAGGGAGGAGGAAACAACGGGAGACCTCATTAGAACAGTGAGACGTTTGTGGGTAGGATTTCCTGAAGGAAAAAGCAGAAACTTCCGAAGATTCAGAAGCAAGATACAGGGTCAAAACCGAAGGTAGTTGTTCCTGAGAAACTGCAGATACAAAAGGTTCCACCAAGTATTTACTTTGGTACAATAGCTGAGTTTTTAATAAGCATTTACTTGTATTTTATTAAAACCACTTAGTTTAAAAGAAAATGACAGAATGCGATGGAACAGCTGGATTGGCCCCTAGGGGCCTGGCCACCCTGTAGGTCGTAATTAAAGGGCGACAGGATGGAGTTGTTGTTAGTGCTCTGGCCTGAGAGCAACAACATGATCTGATGATCTGGTCTGTCTGTGTAGAGTTCTCGTGTTTTCACTGTGAGATTGGGTTGATGGTTCACTCTGAGAGGGAATGCGGAAGTGAATGGCTGTTTGTCCCTGTGGTGGACTAGTATGTAGTACGTAAACCACCACCCCGGAGATTCCAGATTTAGACCATAGGATTGTCACCAAACATTTACTGATGTTGTTATAAATCAATGTAAATTAGCCTCATTCCATGTTGACAAACTGAATAGTGGGAATCAGTTCAAGTCTTTTGTTTGTTCAGCTCCAAATGCTCTGTGCATGTTTCTGCACATCACATTGATTTTTCCTGATAAATAACAATCAAAAGTTTGGCTTGAATCACTTGTGAAAAAAACAGCCAACATTTTCTTGTTCTTATTCAGTCTAATATGACCAAAACTCCCAGTAACAACTTGACTTACATCAAAATGAATTTGTTCCTTTTGAAACACATATTTGTGCGATAACTGAAAAACTCCACTCTGCTTTGTGTTAAACAACACTCCTGAGCAGACTGTCGATGTATTTTCACTTCTGTGATATTAAATACGACGCTGTGCTTCATTAATTCAGCTGTAACCCGACAGAGGCCTGGAGCGGAGCAGCAGGACTCACTTGTCACTAATTCATTATTAACAACCACGTGACATGTGGCACGCCACGTGAACATGAATTTCTGAAAAAACTAAAACGATTGTCACGCTTTTTCTCAGCAACCTGCCAAACAAACAAAATTAAATAGCGACTCCAACGATAAAGGTCACGATGTGTAATGTTGTTTTCCCGAACCAGAGACTAAGAAAGTCAACGTGGATTGATTAATTACAGCCAAAGAACTAGTTAAAATAAGTGTCAACTTTCTCAGTTTTGTAGCAAAGACAATGAACAGGATGCATTCAGTGACAAGACTATATTGCTTGGATTATTAGGTGGAACGTTTTGGGGGTTTTTTGTCAACGGTAGCTTGGGTATGGGAATTCTTTTGTACTACAACTAGTACAACAGTCCTGGTACAAACACCAGAGCTAACGTTAGCTACAACATTCATTCAGTTAGTTCCTGACCAAAATGTATTTGATTTCAAAAACGTATTGTGTCAAATTTGCAGCTTGATAAAATTAGATTAAATAGATCAATAGTGATTCAGATTCTTTTTTTTTAATCACGTCCCTCCACTAGTCAAATCACGAATGCGTTTGTCTCTGTCTCTGGATTCACCACATTCAAGAGAGAGATGAGATCAGCCTTCAGTCTGCACCATTAGCTCGCTGCTCACCTTCTGACATAAGGAACACTTTCTTTCTCTTTTCACCTGAGTCACTGAATTTTACTTCTTCATGAGATAAGTGGGAGTGGGCTGGGAAACACAGGAGTGAGGTGGTGAAAATATTCATGATACAGAGAGAACCACGGTCTTACCGACTGCACAACTGTGAAAAGGTAACGACGCTGAGATTCTCTGTGACATTGCGTGTGATCCCATTAAATACTACAGTAAACCTCAGCGCATGCTAGGAGTGGCCAGGGGGCACTACAATCCTCTACAGGGGAGGAATGTCTTGTCTTGCAGCCATTAAATATTAACACAACAATCTCGGCCCCCCCACTGGGGCCTGATTATGGATGTAGAGCCGTACACAGGGACAGGACGGAGTCACCTCTATACCACTGAAGTCCCCATGTAAACCCAGTGTGAAACCAGCATGAGCAACAGCAAAAACATATCACTCATCTGGAACCAGTCACTGAATGACCCCGCAGCGACATGAAATCACAATAGAAAGTGTAACAATAACTGTGCCGCGTCAGGACACACATTTTCCACGTGTCATTTCCCTCTTCATTGTCTTCACTCACATTTAACCCAACCTTTCAGAAACACGGCTGAGACATCCAGATAAAACTGGAACGGGAGTTTGTTCCCGTGTTCATGTAGGCGATCATGTTTCAGTTACAATGAAAATGAAGATGCTACAAAATCACAAAGACAGAACGCCGCAACAGCTGTACATGGGGTGGAGGGGGTGTCAACAAGAGAGAGTCTTAAAAATAGTGCAACAGCTGTACATGGGGTGGAAAGGTGGGATGATGTCAACAAGAGAGAGTCTTAAAAATAGTCAAACTAAAAGACAGCAGAAAGACCTGGGAGCCTAAAGAAAAGAAAAAGGAGAAAGGGAAAAAAAGGTCAACAATGTAGAGAGACAGAACAGGGAGGTCAAAGGTCAAAAGAAAACAAAAGAAAAGCAAAAAGAAGCAAACACAAGAGTCAAGAATGATCATATGTAGCACTCTGTTCTGTGGAGACTGTGTCTCCTCTAAAGTTAAAACAACAAAAAATATTCTTCCTGTACTGCGTCCACCCCTAACGACTGTACAGTATTAGTTAAATATAAATAGGTCAGAGGTCAAAGTTGCGGATGTGATACAGAACTACTGTGGTAGCAGGGAAATCAACAGTGGACAAAAGAACATTGTCATTAACACAGAAGAGGTTGATTAGAGAAGAAGCTCAGCTCTTACCTGTCCCATAACTTGACATTTCTACAGTTGTTAGTGCAGCAGCCGGCTGATATCAAAGCTGTGACAAGGAGGAGAGGAGAAGAAGAAGAGGAAAGGAGAGGAGAGAAGGGGAGAGGAGAAGATTAAAAGAGTTTGAAAATGCCATGTTTTGACATCAGAAAAATAAAGGTGGCTGGTTCATCAGTAATGACTGTCTGTCTGTTTAGACAGGCTGAACAAGGAGAAACCACTCATGAATAAATCATGCTGAGACCTGGCGGTTTTTGTCATAATGGTGGGAAATGTAAATCAAAAAGTATTTGCTTCAGAAAATGACTGCACAGAGGGCAGCACTAAAGTAAATGAAAGAAAAGACAGATAGTATTATTATTTGCAACATTAGGTGCAAAGACCAACAGCCCTGCCTCCAAAGGAAATGTCCATAATAATGCATTGACAACACTGAATAAATCAGATTTGTATGTACTGTATTTAATGCAGGGAAAAGGCCTGTTTTAGAATAAAAAAGGATTTGGGTTTGAATAGGTGACAGACATCAGTTTTGTCCATTTAAACTGCCTTACTTTAAATTCTAATTTTTTATATGGTGTGAAACATTTCAATCAGAGTTATACTGTACCAATAAAACAGACTTACTGTTTATTGAGGACTTTCACTAAGTTGAACATGTAAATATCAGTAAAATCCTGGGGGCAAAACCTGGCCCACTTCTGCAGGTATGACATTATAATTCAGGCGTAAACCTGGCCACAGCATGTGGTCCATTCCAGGTCATCTCCAGGTGGACACACTGCCGCTGTACTCAAAAGGCTCACAAGATCTTTGGGCAGCATTTGCCATTTCATATGTAGTCCACTGGAGACCCAAATCCATTTAGTCTGGGCCAGACCAAAGCTGGCAGCGCAGCTCTGTAGCCAGTTGTGGCCCACAGCTGTCTGGGTTTAATTCACCACAATTTCCATATCAGCTCAGCTGCTCATAAAGTCCCTGTTTGAGCCCCAGTGTGAAGGCCCTTATCTTCATAACACACACAAACAAACAGAGGCTCTGTGGCTCTGAACCTTTTAGACGTCTTCCACCAACATCTTTTATCACATTTGCTGCACATACACCAGACAGAGATGCTAATTCCTAGACATGCACTGTACACAAGGCCCATTACCTGCAGACGGGCTGCATGTGTTTTCACTAATTAAATTAAAGAATTAGAAGAATTAAAAATAGAATCATCTGACATTCCAATGGCTTTAATTTTATATATTTATTCATAATATATATAAATATATCTATATATGGCAATCATTGGGGCCATGACTACTACTGCAGTCAAACAAAGGAAGTGGGACAGTAATTATTTTTGGGATTTAAGTTTGGATTTTCAAGGAGTGATGTTGGTCACGTCAATTTTTGCTCATCGTTTACTTAGAAGAATGAAACAGATATTGTTGGTCATTTTTGCGGACTAATAATACCACATGTCAGGTGTAAGGCAGTGGTCAGTAGGGTCCAGCGAATCACGTTCTTGGTTTTGCAGTTCAGTGAAGATAAGTAAGATAAGTAATAGCTGCGAATGTGTTGAAGTGAAGGGGGTGGGGGCGTGGTGGGCTCATGTACAGGGTGTTTGTAGTTTGGAGGAGAGGCAGTCGTTTTCTAGTTCTCACTTCTCAGTTTTGCAGTTCAGTGAAGATTTAAAGTAATAGCTGCGAATGTGTTGAAGTGGGTTTTGCAGTTCAGTGAAGATAAGTAAGATAAGTAATAGCTGCGAATGTGTTGAAGTGAAGGGGGTGGGGGCGTGGTGGGCTCATGTACAGGGTGTTTGTAGTTTGGAGGAGAGGCAGTCGTTTTCGTCACAATATTGAACATCGGTCAGTATTGAAAGAGCTACTGCCCCCTACAGGTAACAGGGGTCTCTTGGAATCTCTTGGAAAGATTAATACTACCATTACAAAACAAGGCTAAGGAACAATAGACAACAACCACAGTCCATGCCGTCTTTGTTCATTTCCTGCAGCGTTTGAGACCTTTTTCCTCTTGAGTACATTTTCCTTGGAACAAAAAGCATTTCCCTGTATTTCCCACTCCACTCCTGGCCTCCTGTGCCCTTCAAAACATTTTTTTTTCCCTTCTCTACTTTTACTCTCCATCGCTCCATCTGGACCGTTTCCTCTCCCTGAGTCCATAATCGTGTTTTCAGCACATTTCCTCTCCTCCACTCACCAACATCCCACATTAAAGATTCATGCCACTGTTGTGACCGCAGAGTTCTGCAAAAGATTCCAGGTTCCTGTCTTCACCTCCACCTGCCCCCACCCTCTCTGGGTTTATCTCATCAGGGGTGTGGGGGAGACTCTTTAATATGGGGTTAGCAGCGCTGAGCTAAAGCAGTTTTTTTTTTCATTTGGAATTTAGGGTGTGTGGAGTGGGATTGATTTCATGGTTAGTGCAGAGCTTATAAACCTGTTAGGGAGCAGTAAACACACCATCACATGCATCTCACTTCCTGCGAACACACAAACACACGTGTGTGTGTGGACAGGATGTGAGGCTGATGGCTATTTAGCTGATTCATTTGGAGGAAGGACCCGGTCTTAACATGCTCTAATGGATCGATGCAAACATAGAGTGCTGGAGCAGTGACGCCCGACCAGTGTGTGGTTTAGGATAGATGAAAAAAAAACAAAAACATAAAATAACTTTTATCCTAAAGCTTTTTTTAAGCTCTGAATCCAAGTTGCCAGATCATGAAATCATGAAGCCCAGGCCCCTTAAAACACACCCTGAAGTGCTGACCTGGCCTTTTAGCCCCTCTGTGAAGAGTGGAGAGCCCGAGATGTGCAACATAGAATTCACTGAAATATCTGCAAAAGGTCATTGAGGTCCTTTATGGTCTGGGGGATGAACTTGTCAGATTTTTTTAAGGACAGATTGAGCAGTGAAGACATTTGGCAGCTGGTGTCAAGGTTGGTGACCTTTAGATACTTGTTTGTCCTAAGGTTGTGGTCCTATTGGTATTATTGACAAGTGACCTTCAATTTGTATGGGTTGGTACTCAATATGAATCAGCTGGAATGAAGATTGGCACCTGTAAGTCAGAAACCATGGTTCTCAGATGGAGATCAGGTGGAATGACAGTTAAAAATGTTAGTGGAGACAGACAGACTGGTGAGGACAACATTCCCAGTGATGTGAACCCTGTACTCCTTGGTTTGTGTGGCAAGTAAACTTAGCAGGAAGTGAGGTTCTCAATTTACCAATCTATCTACATCCTATCCTCGTTTATGAACAAGACAAGGTCATGACCAAAATGTGAGATTTTTCAGAGGAGCAAGCTGCCTCCTGGACAACCCCCTGGGTGGTGTTCCAGGTGTGTTTATTTGGGGGTGGTAAGCCCAGAGGCAGACCCAGGGCAGGGTGGAGTAATTACGACTCTCAGCTTTGAATCCTTGGAACGAACCGTACGATTGGTCGACTTGGCAACCATGTTCTGAATGTGTGTTCCCTTCAGTGACAGAACTGTAACTGTAACTTCTGATACATATACTTCATCACACACATTCTTTGTACGCTTACTACTGATACACCCGTGCTAATGAGCAGAGTCAGCGTGACTCACATACTTCCTCCGCTGTTGTTAAACACCAATTGCCTGACAATAGTCCTATGTACAAAAGGGGGCGCTACAGAGAGAGTGTGTAAAATGCTTCTTTAGTACACAGGGGAGATCGTCACCCTTTCCTGTTCCTCACCCATGTCTGTGAGACACACAGTGATGTCAGGATTCCCATCTCTCTGACAGCTTTTGCTATTTCAGTTTCAGCTGCGATGTGAAAAAGTAAAAAAAAGAAAAAAATCTAAATGTTTTTGTATGTGAGAAATGTGTGGAGCTAAGGGTTTTGAATGTGGGTCAGGGCAGAGTATAAAAAACTTGTGATTATTCCAGAACACAGGGAGGCCTGAGCTTTTGTAAGCTCTCCCTGATTCCATCTTGGTTCATCAGAGCTGTGAAAGTGAAAGGCTCTAAATTTCCTCACAAAGAGAGAGGTGAGATTGGCCTGGGAGAAGCTGCTCCCACGCTGAGTAAATCACTGTTCGAAGTAATGAACTCATGACCTCTACAGGCAGACACCACTGATTCTCCCTGTAAACATCATCGGCGTATGGTTCACATCTATCTGAGGGTGTGGCTGACAAAAGTAAATCTTCCAAAATGAATAAATGATGGAATAAAGAATTACAGCTGTGTGACTGCTCAGATCTGTGATCAGGCTGTAACTGACGTCTAATCCAAGACAGAACTCATATGGAACCACAACAGCAGACCTCAAGGCTGTTCATTCCTCTGATCCTGGTCCACTCCGGCCCCACGGCCCCCTGCCCCTCCTGCCCACCCCACCTCACTCTCCTCCTCTCTACTTACAGAATCAATGCAATGTAATTTCACGTGGCCGTTCCCTCAGACCTCCTAAAAATCAGCCCCATAAATAATTCAGACTGAATGAGCAGGAAAGCCTGTGGAGATGTGTGCTGGATCAGTGACCTTCCATTTGGCTGCCAGTCACTCAGACAATGAGACGGACAGACAGTCAGTCAGTCAGTCGGCATGGCTGCCACGAGGACTGCCCATCTTAGCATCCATTGGGTGGCTGGAGACAACACAGAAGAGAATCTCTGCGTCCAGGACACTCACTCCTCAACACAAAGATTCTACCTCGAGATGGGGGTTTCCATCCAACCTATTTTGGGTGCAACCCCCCCTAAAAACTACCCCATGTTGATCAGTATTTGTGAGTTTAGCAATTGTGCCAAATCAGCACACTTTTGAATGTGAACAAAACGGGTAGAGAGTGAACAGCGAACGTATTAGCTGCTCTTTAACTACTACAGGATTGAACACAGCATTATCTAATAAGGGTGCAGCAATTGGTCGACATTCATCAGGTCTTTGTCAGCGTAGCAGCAGCAACAGTGACCCGTAGAAAGGCCCAGTGGGGTGATAGTGAGGGGACACGCTGCTGCAGCTGCTCGTCTGGGGGATTTCACCTCTTTGGTGATTTGTACTGCACTGCAGCACAGCAACGGGGAACTGAGGACAGGACAAAATGAAGACGTTGTGAGTTTAAAGCTCTACCAAAACAGCAGACGAGGGTGGAGAGGGTGGAGGTGACGTGACAAGTCTGAAATCCCAGCATTATTATGTCATCTCTTTAAACATGTTTGTCAGGTGCACTTGGCTCGTACCAGCTGTGAAGATGATAGCTCCCCCTGGTGTAATCTGAACTACCAGTGGGCTGTGTTCAAGGGTCCGTCATCATTTCTATCAGCAGAATTTTAAAAACTCCATTGGCTGAGCCACTCTCCGTCCTGACCTGCTTCTGAGTGGAATGTTTTCTTGAGTCATTTGCCCCTGATGAAGCGTCTCTTCTATTCGACACCAACACTAACAGCTCTGTAGTGTACCCTGGTGGGCGTAGGTCCACTTATATTTGCATTTTCCACACCAGAAGTGTTGCATCGGCTTCACCCTTCGCTCCTGCCACTCTCACCTCCCTGTAATCAGCTTCACCTCCTACATCTGTCCTCCACTTCTCTGCCTCCACAGTGATTACCTTAAGACCTCCACCTGTGCCCTGCCTTCATTTGTTTAGAAATACCGCCCAAGTGGACGACTCTCCGCTCAACCTTAATTCAACCAGACAGTTTAGATATACGCTCTCTAAAAGCTGTGTTTATCCTCAGCCCATAAATGTACTGCACACTCCCCTCCTGGCTGGTGGTAATCACTAATCAATGTGAGCTGTATTTGGGTCCAAACACTCCAGTCGGAGTGGAGCAGCCCGGAGAGAACCAGCTAACAGCAGTTTGTCAAAACATGAACAATCATAACAAAAGCTTGGGATTAAGGCACTGCTCTGGTATCAGCGTAAAACATAATAATTAAATGAAGTAGGAAAAAAATGAAAAAAATGTATTTCCAAATAGACCAAAGAAAATGACAGTCAGTTCAAGCTGTATGTATGTAGTATAAGTGAATATACACATAAATGTGCCTTTGGTTTTTTTATATAGAGTAACAGAACAAGACAAAAAAACAAGATGAAAATGAAACGGGAGTTTCCTGAAACTCACCAATGAGGATTTCTTCATTAGTTTTGTTCCATCTACAAACCAAAGAAATTCAGTTTAGCACAGAAACTGAAAACATCAACATGTCAGCTAACAGACATATAATGTTAAAGCAGTGGTCAATTTAGTAGTCAGTATATTTTTGTTGTTTTATAACATTCTGAAAATGAAATGATGGGCCCTACAAGATACCAAGGCCAATAACTGGCCCCCGACCCAACTTTGAACATCTATATCAGAACGAAGGACACATTATATCAATACTGTGACTACAACGAGGTACTTAGTGCGGTTGAATAAATCACCAGTGTAAGTTGAACAGAATAAAACAAAGTTTTCTTGCTGAAAATAACAAAACTATTTCTCTTTTCTTTAGCTATTAACCTTTGAGTTGAAGACTTCTGCCTTTGGACCTTTTGACAGCGCTCTGGTTAAAGTGTCCGCGGTGATGGATGTGTTGTTCTGCTGCAGCCATTCCTCACAGGTGAATGAAATATTTAAGCCAGACATTTGCAAGATAAACTGCTGTTGTCCTATTTTAATATGTCACCGGCCGCCTCTCTCTGTCTCTGTCTCTGTCTCTCTCTCTCTCTCTCTCTGCTCAGAGCTGATGAATAATATAACAGTGTGTGCTGGTCTGGGTGTGTATTGTATATGTGTGTTGGCGTGGGCTCATGTGTGCAGGGATGAGCAAAAAATGTTATAACAGAGCACTTTGAATTCTAATCTCTAAAGTCTAACTGAATTCACTCACCATTGATTATAGATTTATGGCATTGTTGGGAAGTGTTCTAACTTTTGTGGAAATCAGCTAGCCAATCATTCTAGAGATGTTGGTCGTCGTAAAATTATTTCAACATCCCAGAGAGGAAAGAACTGAATCTCTGGACAGGTGATGGAAGGAGAATCGGTACCGTGAGGAAAGTATGACCAGTGCAGGTCCATTCATGCACAGTAACAGGAGATGCGGATACGCCTCGCTGTCATCTATATCGGAGTAAACGTTACATCAAATGCACATAATGCACCAATAAGAGGAGGAGATACATTTATGCTGCAGGAAATGGATTACTACATCCTGGGTGTTGTGAGAGGAGAGAGATAACGGTGCCGTCAGCTGCAGCGCTTCAGACATGTTCTGTTCCCAGATATCCAGTCATCTTCACTTTTCATCCTCCCTTAAACAGATAGCTCGGCAGTAAAAACTAAATAAATAAAGCAGCTCAGCACGGCTGCTTGACCAGCGCTGCAAATGCTTGAGAGGAAATACTGGATAACCATAAAAGCTGAAGCGAGGACTTAATATCACGTACTGACTGTAAAGTTGGGCTTTATGCACACGAGTCCAACTTTCAATCCCTGGCCATCTGTCGAGGTATTTGCCTCTTAGGGAAAACTGTCATTTTAGCTTTTTTCTCCTGCAGCGTCAAAACACCTGCCACAGAAAAAGACGCAGAGTCATGATGAGGACTGTCATCAATGTCTCCACTGATGACATCAAAGAAGGAGAGGTTACTGTTTTGAACTTCAAAGTTCAGGACTTTAATTTGAGATTATAAATACTTTCATCAGCCCACCATTGAAGGGAAATTCACATTCAGCACAGCAGCTGTGGACCACAGTGACCTCTGGTCTGAACGGATCAATGATGTCCTGCAGGTGACTCCAAGAAGGTAGAATCAGACGGATGGAGACATGAATCAAACCAGTAACAGAATTAACCTGGAAGAACTGGTGTCTCCTCTGGCTTTCACAACGTTCCGCCACTGTCAGGAATTCATGACAACTGGAAAATTCAATCAACTTGTGGACCAAGGACCAGCAGACTGAAAGCCCTGCCTCTGTCAGTGACATTTCCAGACCTGAACCTTACTGCAGACTTCAGAAATGTGATCAAGAGGAAGAGTGATGATGAGTAGGATCCATTTAAAAAGGAGGAGTTTTTCACACCAGAGGTCGAACGACATCAACCAACAGAAGGAGTTTACGGAAAATCACCGGCAAGGACAGCGTTTTTTCACCAAATGTAAATATCTGTTTGCTTATTGAAAGTACTGCAACGAATATTCAAGTATATCTATAAAATGAGTGTCATCAGACGCCACTCCATTGCATACACACACTCAAATCCATACTACAGTGTCCAATTAAACTATTTGTTAGTAATAGCGAGAGAGACTGCGGCAACCCCTTCCACTCCCCAAAAACACATAGGTAACCATGGTAACTCCAAACAGAACTTTTCCCACATGAAATATCCATCCATCCATTTTTATCCACTTATCCGTTACCAGGTCGTGGGGCTACATGAAAGATCAGATTTTTTTATTAATTGTAGTGTACTGCTAGAGGGAGCTGTTGGGAAACAAATGGTCCTATTCCATTGGGTGTGATTAGTCGGTATTTTCATTGTAGGCTGAAAATACCTCGCTTACAAAAGTCCAAAGTCCAACAAATGCCCTCAGCTATCGGGGTCCATCTCTATTCTCCTGTTTGGCTCTGACCATGTGACACACCCAGGCGGCCAGCCCTAAGTCAAAACCGAGCTGCAGCCGAAGCAAATGTTGCATGTCTAAATGTGGTTACTGCTGCTGGCTCTGCTGCCGACACAGGTTCCCCCAGGCCCAGTCCTGCCCCCGTACACAGCAGCCTCTAAACTTCCAGTTAATTACCTGGCCGAGCAAACTAATTTCCACTCTGCTCAGTGAGCCCATCCCCACCGGCGTGGAATAAGAGGATGAAGATTGTTCTCCATGCCACAGATTTTTATGTCTGCAGGATGAAGGGGACCACTGTACAACATTTGTCATTTTCCTCTGGGGTTTGGGTGGAGTGACACTCATGCATACCATAGACTGTAAATAAATGATGGATGTTCTCTGCAGCGTCTATTGCACATCCATGTGTCCTGGAGGAAGGATTTTTCCATGTTGTTATTCAGTTGGAGAGTGTGAAGAACTGTTCTGCCTGATCAGTGTTCTGGTCTTGACAAACATCTGTGCCCACCAAGGGGCCATGCCCCACACTTTGAGAAAGGCTGCAGTATTGTGCAAGATGCACACAACACAGAGGCATTGTGGGACTTTATCAAGCGGCAGCGGCTGGATTAAAAGTGACAATGACATACACCAGAGGCTGATAAACAAAAAGCTAATCATGCGCTCCTTGGTTAATGGCTGCCCCGATGACCCATGTGCAACAATGTTTGGGATAATTGATCTCAAGTGTGATTAGAAATTCAAACATTAGAAAAACACACTCAGACGTGACAGTTTCTCCCAGGTGGAGCCGAGACCAATCCTGTGTGTGAAGCTACCTCAGCTCCATATTTGGGGATTTTAATCTTCTCTCATCTCATTTCTGATAAAACCTCGGCATCACGTGACTCATTCAGTCACTCTTCACAACACTGAGCCTCAGGTTCAAACAGTAATGAGTGAATTCAGATGAGACTGCCTGGAAATAATTCAGTTCAAATTGAGTTAGAGCAGCCTGTCACTCACTGCCATCCTTTCATGCCAGGCAGCTGTGACCAACATGAGAGTTTTATGGTGCTGTTCAGACTGGAAGACTCCACATTTTGTCAACCCAGCCACTTTACACCCAGTGCCTTGACAGATGAGCGAGGAAGAGGATGGAGCGGAGTAAGAGGTTGAGGTGAAGATGTATTGAAGAATGAAAGAAAGATGGGGGAGGGTTGAAAAAGGCCCATCAACCACTCCAACACTCATTCAACCTTCTGCCCAGCCTGGCACTAGCACGTCATCCTGCCTTCCTTGGGGGGCGGGGGGTTTGTCATCAGAGCTTTCTTCCTTTCTGACAGCTGCTGGTTCTCACTGGCAGCCAATTAGGAAAGAAAGAGATGTTAAAACAGAGAAAGAGGAGGAGGAGAGGGAGAAGAGCAGGGAGATCAGCTTCCTCAGTGGCAGCGGGAGAGGAAGAACATTATCTTTGGCCAAAGCCTCAGTGATGATTTCCTGTTGCACTGACAAGCGCCAGCTCTTCACAACAACCACTTCAGGAGCTGGACCCTGTGCACTGAGGCGACGGTTGTCAACATGAACAGAATCAGTGACACCACGTGATGATCTTTGCTAATTGAATCTGATAGACTTCAAGTCCAAGTCCGGGCTGGTGGTCTGTGGAAACATGCTGCTGGATTTACTTCACCGCCGGGGAAATAAATAGAAGTGAAGCACAAGTTCACCAAATAGTTCCTCCAAAGTTCCTGCAGCACAGAACTGAATCACCACGAAACTGACTACGAGCAGCACTTGTCACCGTTGAACCGCCAGTGTGACAGTTTGTGTTTTGATACAAGCAGAAAGTGTGGAATATGAATATGCCACTGTCTTGACCTGTGATGGACAGTAGAACTGACACACGTCAGGTCAAGTGGGATTGACCCCAGCTCTGCCTGTGACCTTTGACACAAGCAAAAGAAGATGAATGAATGGATGGGTGAATGAATAAATGGGTAAATGGATGAATGAGTGAATGGATAAATGGAAGGATGGATGAGTGAATGTAGTTTTGGTTCTATGTCTCTTTCGCGTCATTTCATTACATGAGATGATTTGAAACCAAATTTTGTGTCACATCACAAGCTATTTTTTCATTTGTAAAAGAAAATACTCCACGGACATTGACGTCCCTCCTCCTCCTCCTCCTAACAAATCACACGGCCAGATTATGACATTTAAAGCTGCACACTCACAGTCTTTAATCCCTTATGTGTTGACTGAGGTGTGATAGGTCACACACACTAAAACATCTATCACCAGGAGGCGCCGCAGAATATTATGGTCTAGTCTCCCAACCGTGAAAACATATGTGAATGACACGGTTAATGGTCCGTGCAAATCGACTTAATTTACCTTGATTTATATCTGGTGCTGTGATCGGTGCCGGGCCTTTCTCTTCCCTCTCTGTCTCAGACAGGATTACTTTTCCTCTTTTCCTGTTTGTGTTTCTTATCACATTATTTTTATAATCTCCCCAGAGTCTGTCATGGACTGAGGAAAGGACTCTCTCTGCCTCACAGATTAGGACCAAGTTAGTGTGTGATATGAGAATCAGTCAAAACGTCCTTAGACAGATGTGTTGATTTCTACTGTTATTATGTCAAGTGTTGAACTGTTTTAACCAAACCTGAATGGAAACCTGTTCCGGTGAACATCAACAGGTTTGGATCTAGAACCATCTGACCAGCCTCGTTCTTTTGAGTTCAGCGGACTGGAAGAAAGTCCAGGTCCACTTGTTTTATCACCAGGATAAGGACATTACATGGTCTAAACCACTGGTTCCTAAACCTTTCTAAGCCAAGGGCCCCCTAACAGCATTAGCTTCTGACTGGAGACCCCTTTTCAAATCCACAGATAATGCTACAAAAATCTATGTTCTGACTTTTATGCACAATTCAATAATTAATACATTTTTAGCATAAGAACATTATTAATGAATTACTAATACACAGTTTTCTAAGGCCCTCCTAGCGCCACCCGGTGCCCCCCACTTCAGAAGCCTCTGGTCTACATCGACATGTGATGGGACAGACTTCTTAGACCTGTGTTCTTTTTGGTCTATGACACTTCCATTATTCCCCACTAGAAGGTGTCAGATACATGTGGTCCAGATGTTCAAAGCTAAAGAACTGAGCTTGTTGTTAGCTTTCGATTTGGACATACATTAAAATGCATTCATTTGCATAAAATAAATGGATTACGTTCCCCTTTAAGGAACGTTGTTGTGTTTCTTCAGGTTCTTTATGTGTGCCGCTGTTTGATAATACAAGGGCACTGGTTTTCCCACACACAGCTGTCCGTCTTTCCCCAGTGACTCTTCATTTTCCCAGTGATCATCTGAGCAGCTTAAGCTAATAAGCAGAACTTGTGATTGGTAAAGCAGAAAACAAGATTAACTCTCGTCTTTTTTTCCCCCTTCTTTACCCTCAGCAGTGGACGGATCTCACGGGTTTAGAGGGAGTTGAGAGCCTGAGGCTGAATCACGAGAAGAACATGGTTCTGTTTACACAGATCAATGCAGGGCCATGTTTGATATTGCAATCTATTATTATGTAAGATAATATTTACTTATATTCTGAAATACGCTATACAGTTGCTTGTTTCTAATTCATGTACATTGTAGGGTAATGTTCCATTAATGCTCTTCTGAAATCACTCTGTGATTTACAGGAACCATCAGAATAAACAGGAACTACCTCCAGGACTGAGGGACTGAACCGGAACATCTGTGAGTTTGGACCATAGGGGGCAGCAGTTAAAAGGTAAAAATGCAACAGTCTGTTTTCAAAAGATGGTGTTATACCATTTAACATTAGCATTAGCATTAGCAAAAGAAGGGATGCATCCATGTGTAAAAGAAAAAAGAACTTTGAACTTCATCCATCTTCATGATAGTGGAGGACTACCGATGTTTAATTATATTAAAAATTTAAATTAAAAATTAAAAACATATTTTTAGCAGTGATTTGTGTTTAATTATAATTAATTAAAAACATATTTTTAGCAGTGATTTTTTTAATCAATTATGGGGTCGCGCCCCAAAGGTTGAAAAACACTGCCATAGAACATGTCAGGAACTGGATGGTCCTCCTCTCTGCATCATCTGTTCTTTGTATGACTTTTACAGTAAATTTAAGGAGCTCTGCATCGCTGCCTTTTTTTTTTTTCAACATCCTGCAGAGGTATGAATTTTATTGCAACCACAGAATGGAAAACAAAAGTTGTGGCAGTAAGTTTGAATCCTTTGTGCAGATCTGCTGAGACCAGAGGTTTTTCTCACAACACAGTACAGTGCAGTACATTGGTATACGACTGTGAAACTTCCACTCCTGAATGGGAAACACTATTGTCAGAAACCAGATATGCCATAATACACACACAACTAACATCCTGACCCGCCAGTAATTTAGACGTCAGATTATCAGACTTTATAGGATTTTATAATTATTGAATCAGAATCAATAATTAGAGAAGAATTGATGAAATGATCATCAATGCTGATGGAAAACTTGAATGCAGCTACAGGAATGACTCTCTCTCCCCTCTCTCTATCTTTCTCTCTCCCCTCTCTCTCTCACACACACTCAGACACACACAAATACATGAAAAATGAAATAACACTGACCAAAGGGCTTAGGAGATAATCCCAGGCAGTGAAGTGTACTGCGTCGTCACTGGAATTTAATTCCCTCTTCATCCTAAAAACGGACAGCGCAGTGAGCACGGGTCAGTGAGTGATAATCACAGACATGACCACAAACCTGCTCTTTTCATTTGTCATATCTCACTCCAATGCATTTCCTTCTTTTTCTCTGGCACCAGTGTTTTAATATTATTATTGTTATTATTATTATTCAGCTGTGGTAGGAAGGCATGATTTGTCAATTCAAAATGAAGACATAAAGCTCTCTGACTTCTGGTCCAGTGTTTGATTAAATGACTTAAATCATGTGTAAATACTTTGTTATGACACCTGAAGTTAAGGTCCTTGTCGGGTCAGCGGGGTCAGTGGGGTCAGGGTAGCCCCCGTGGTTATGATGCTGATAAACTGCCTTTTTGACAGACAGCAGGTCGTGATGCAGCTGGAGCAAGGCACACCCATACACACACACATACACACTCACACAACCCAACTGCTGTGTCACACACAGACACACATGTTTGATGACATATTTATGATCACAGGTTGTTGGGTGAAGAGTATGTGTTACACTGAAACAACCAGGCCTCCTGGGAATATGGATTTTTTAGATTAAATGTTCTGTGTGGGTTTCATATTTCACCAAAAGTTTAAATCTCATTAAAGCTACAGACAGAGACTTCCTAATGCATAGGAATGTTGGGCTTGTCCTTATAATAATCCGCTACAATCTGTGGGGATTACCAAATAGCAGCAGACACTTTTTAGTCACAGTTACAGCCGGCCAAGTTTAGGATTAGGTCTTGAATTATAGACATTATGCATCTTTGTGAATTTGTTTATCTTGGATAATTAAGCTTTCTTTAAACTAATAGAAAAATATTTTAAATTCATTCATTTGTCAACCATAGATTCACCAAAAAGGCCAAGCATACAGTACGTCAGTCATTTTTTAATTCAGCAGCATTATTTTTGGCCTTTTTTGGTAGATGTAGTTGGAAAAAGCATTGTCTTCCAATAGATTTGGACAAGTCTCCTGCAAAAGTCCTTTCCGGGGGTCAAAGAGGTCATGGACAAGGGCAGGGCCACAGTCCTCCAGTCTATCATAGGGTCACATATACTGTAGATGAAAACATCCATTCACACTAACAGTCACCCTGATAGTAAAAAAAAACAACTAAAAACTAGAGGCGAGAACATGTAACATTGTTTTCATGACTGCAGCATCACTAACCAATGGGGATCGAACTGTCCTAACCACTTTCCCACTGTGTAGCCCACCACTCTTTCTAAAGCCATTAGACAGGGATGGCAAACTGTCATATGTCACACACATCACACTGTCATACACAAATGATTGCACACATGTGGGGGATGTACAGTGGAGGTCATACATGAATGACCCTGGTAGCCCGAGGGTCGCAGCCCGCTCGCTACTGCATGCAGATGAGGCCCATTTATTGTGTTGCCATGTTTAACCTGTAACACACTGGTCCACAGGAGTGTACGTGGTGAGTTGTTAAATATAGCAGAGATGCTCAGATGTCTCTGCTGACATGCCAACATGAGAGGCACAGTAACTGAACTCCTTCCTGTCAGTGTTGGGTTTACGCTGCTCTGTTTGGTCTGTGTCTGCTCCTGTTGTAATTCCAGGCTGGTCTTGAAGAGTCAGCTGTGATATTTCACCTTGACCAGTTGTCCTTTAGCGTCAGCCAGCTTTGAGCCCCTCCGTACCCCACCACCACAGCTACCTCCACCTCATCTCCACCCTTGAATCATTATCAGCAGCTGTGAGGTATTTAAGCCTCGGCCAAGTTTGTGCCTTGATATTCCTGCTTCTCTCCTGGCGACCTTCATTTTCACTGATCTCACTGAGATGCACGAGGCTGTGGCGTCATGTGTCTGCGTGTCTGCGTCAAATGAACTGAATCTTTCTGTACAACAGGACCCAGGAACAGATTTTTTCTCTGAAGCCCTTATTTTCTGTATCTCTCAGCCTCTGAGTCGGCCCACATTCCTCTTGAGAAACAAATAAAATCAATAATGCTGTAAATTTTTGCAGCAGTCAGAACCAGGAAGACTGAGGAGGAGTTTTTCTTTCCATGTGTAAAGCGATTTTTGACAGAGTTTTCACAGAGAAATTTAGTCTAAATTATACGATTTTATAATGAGTGCAGTGAAAACAGCACTGATTAATTGGTAAAATGCATCAGTTCACACTTGACAAGCATGACAGAATAACAGCCACTGTATGTCCAGTCATCTCTACTCCATCCATCTACTTAATGTTGCTCTACAACAATAAACACTAGGCTGCACATGTGTTGTTATATACACATCAAATGTGTTTCAGCAAAGGACCTCATGCTAAAAATCCCGTCTCAGCTCCCAGCATGTGTTTGTGGAGGCTTCAACTGCAGGTCAGACACCTGGCTTGAGGGACTCTAAAATTTCAGTTAAACTTTTATATATTATTCTTGACATTCTTCCATATTTGTCAACACATGCTGTGGTGTACTGGTGTACCTACCATTCATTCCATTATAGATGCTCCTATGATGTGGTGACAGATCCTCTCCAGTTGGCCTTCGCTGCCCATCTCTCACCGGGCTGCCAAACTTCACGTGATCCGGGCTCATGCTGTACTGATGCCTATGAGTTTCCGGGCTGCCCCGTGGGACCGGACAGCCCTTTTCCAGGTGTTCACTGCCCCCTAAATGTGCCTGTCGGGGTTCGGGGCTCCCACAGCCTGTGCTGCTGATGCTGCTCCTGTGGTGCCTCTGAAACAGCTCCCCGCTCCCTCCCTGGCTCAGGAAGTGATGCCTCTGGCCCAGGAGGAGGTCAGAGCTGTGGTGCTTGGGGTGGGGCTCTGGACTATGTTGACCCAAGTTCCTCCCATACTTTTCTGGACTGAGGCCCCTGAGGGATCGACTGTGATCAGGAATGGATATAGAACCACAGCGGGGTCGGCTGAGCTGAGGCAGGGTGTAAGGGTACTCCAGGCTTGTACTCCGGTGGCGAGCAGCTGGGAGATCAGAACTGGACACCTCCCTGTCACTGCCTCCTATTGCACTGATGCTGCTACACCTGGGTTTGTGGACAAGCTCAGGACTACCTTTATCAGCAGTAATGCTAACTCCACCCACTCCTGCAGACAGGTGAGGCTGCTTATGATGGGGGTGATCGGAGCTGTCGGCGCTCCCGGCACTGGACGTGCTGCTCCCGTCCCCCACGTCTCTCATCAAGAGCCCCTGTCCGGGCACCAGCAGCAAACTGTTCTGGCTGTCAATGGAACTGCGGCATCCTCCCATCCCTGTGTTCCCTACAGTTCCGTTTCCTCCACCCCCACCACCTCCTCCCACCACTCCCTTCTCCTCATCCAGCAGCAGACAGAGTTCCTTCAGCTCCTGGTTCTCACGAATTACCTCCTCCTGTCTGAGCTCCAGCTCTTTGAGTTTTTGTAGGTAGAGTGTGACTTCTTTGCGCATAATGCTAGCACTGTACCGTCCAAGGCGCTGCCACTCTCTGGAGACACGCTTCCCTTTCTGTCGGTCATCGTCCAGGAAGCAACACAAGTCCCTCAGCTCTCGGTTGTCTTCCTGCAGCTTCTGGTTAATGTCCTGAGTAAAAAGAGAAAGAAAGACACTGGAGTTTAGCTCAGCACTTGAATTGTTGTTATGGCAGGATTATAACTAGGGGTGTCTATTGGCAAAAATCTGGCGATATGAGAAGTATCACGATACAAAGGTTCCGATAAAATATACTGCAATACTACAGGCATGACGATATATTGAGTTTTTTTTAACAATTTAATTGTAGGATAACATTTGTGATCACTGGAGAAGAAATAAAAGCAAAATTGATTGAAAACCGTGATATTTCCGTGTCTCGATATTTTTAGCCTTGTAAATATAACATCACAGATGTGCTACATTTTGTACAAAACCAAATTCCTTTTAATATTTCCCATTAATCATTTTTTAAATCTACATGCAACCTTTGTCTGGTTTCAATCCACTTAATTGCTCTTTTTTTCAAAATCAGTCAAACACTGAAGGCAATCATGATGAAATTAAATCCTAATCCTCTCTGTGTTGTGCATAAAACCCTTGACTTAGTGCATGCTGTTCCCTGTGAAGTACATGCTGCAGATGTGAATGATCTGCGGAGGACCAGGAGACCACACAGAGCCTGGATGAGAACTGAAATCATCATATTCTGTGAACAATTCAGACCAAAAACAGTAACTCAGTCAAACACTTCCCTCGGCTTTATCTTTACCCTGTCATTCCAGAAAGATTTCTCTCTTCCCATTTCCCTTCCTTCTCAATCTGCCCCCTGTCTTTTACCCTTCAGTAATTTCTGTGTAATTAGGCAGCTTGGATGGGTGGAGAGGTGACGAGCTCTCCCACAAAGGCAAATGATCCCCATGTGCTTCATCTGAGACTACCTCAGGCTATAAATATCTGAGTCTGAACAGTAAACATTGTGGACACTGTGCTACGTTGCCCCCATTAGTGTTGAAGGGAAGAAGACGGCACTGAGTAAAGGTTGCTGAGAAGGAGAATTCCTGCATTTACTTTCAGAGCAGATGCCACGATGTTGTGAAGGCAGACCCTTCCCTCCTGAGCTGTGTGCATGTGTAGATTTATGATGAGATTTTTTTTTTCCCAAGAATGTGAGGTGTATGAAGACAGAGAAAGACAGAAGTCTGGTGAACAGACCTGCTGGCAGAGGAACAGAGCTGGAGCTTTACGAAGGCGATGCCATCTTTACCTCACTGCTCTGCTAAAGATTTACTTCCATGTGTTTGAGAAGTGTATCTGAATACCTTTGAATAACCTACTTCTGATTTTAGTTATCCAACTCCCGTCTAAAAGGCAACGATGACACAGGAGTCCAATCTTAACAAAAAGTCAGCATTGAGGGTTGGATGAACCTGGATTAAACTCCTGCTGACTTGATCAAATGGCTCTGTTTTAGGAGCACTGTCATTATATAAATTATTCAACCTAATCAGATTGTTCTGCTGATGACGAGTGAGCTTTTACTTTGATCAAAGCATGCTAAAAAAACCTCACAGGTACAATGCAACATGAAGTGCTTCCTAACGAGACAGGGCGGAGCCTGCCCAACAACATTTTTATAGAATTGAACAGTTTGTTTTGAACCTTTGCTGTGAAGTCATAGTTCTTACCTGTCACCCTGTTTGTTTAAGTTTGAAATGAAGATGGTTGCTTGATGTCTCCACTGCAGGAAGAGCTGTGTTTCTGCTTTTTTGCACTTTGTTCTTTTAGTTTTAATGTCTAACTTTGTCAATAATTCACAACGCATAGATATTTTATGGACACTAGTGTTTTAACTGCCATCCACCATTGCTATGGATACCAAATTATGCAACTAAAACATTTTTTTTCCTTTTGAATAGAAGATACTGTACATTAATGACCTACATGACTTCACATGGCAAAATTAATACAATTTTAATCATACCTAATGATGTACCATAATATTCAAGCTGATGTCATGTGTTGCGGCAAAGCTAATAGGATAAGAGCTAAAACCAGCGAACACAGCCTAAGACATTATAACATTGGTCTTTAAATGTGTGGGAGCTCAATAACACTGTTACAATTTGCTCCGTTGAAATTTTAACAAGTTTCTCCTTTGTAAAGAAGCTATACTGGGTGAGTAGGAAGCAGCTGGCTGCATCAGTGGCTAGCAACAAGAGAAACAACATGAAGCTTAGATGTTTCTATTCAACAAGTGTTGGAAAAATGCAAGAGGTTCAGCAAAGGCAGCGAAAAGGTAAAACATCATCAAAAGAAAATTCAAAGCTTTGAGAAGCAATTAAATTATATATTTAAATACACCTGGCCTTTATCTCCGACACGTTACTAGAGATGTTAAAAAATACTTTTCAAGAAGACACTGTACTCTTTATGGGTCTTATTGGCGCAGAAACTGTGCACACACTAAGGCTGGTGTCAAATCATGTTGCATTGGACTTGTAAGAACATTTTCTGAATGTTAAGAGGTGAAAGAAAGGAAAAGAAAACTTCAGAGACATGACATGACACACAGGCTCAGCCATAGAAACATCTATAGTCGCTACACGCCTCATGCTATGCGCGTTCTCAGGTGCGCTCCAAACCTATGATCTCATCCGTCTCCAGTGCGCGCCCCTGCTCAGTGCTCACCTTCAGTCCCCTGATCTCGTTCAAGTGCAGCTGGAGGCTGCGGTTGACCTCCCGGATAAGATTCCCGTGGTCCAGTATCACGCTCATCTTGTCGGCCTCCGAACGCCTTAGGCGCCGCACTAGCTCCTCCTTGGACCACTTGAGCAGCTCCTCGTCACTCAGACCGGAGATGTCCTCAGCTGGACTTTCCGTCTTCGCTATCGATAGCTGGAGCTGGGGCTGGGTCTGGGGCGGCGGAGTCGCTTTCTCCATGGGCACGGCTCCGACAACGGGCAGGATATACTCAGAGGCTGGCTGAAGACTTCTGCTCGCATCCGCTCTCCCTTCGACTTTTTGGACTGGGGGGAAATGATAGCGTTCACCGCTTTGAAATGAAAGACATAGTTTGGCCCTTTTCCCCTGTGGCTCCTGAGACTTGTCCTCTTTCCTGTAGAGCAACAGCTGAGGATGCCGGCTGAAGCAGCAGCGGGGAAGAGGATGCTCTGTTTCTCTCAGTCTTTCTCTCTTTCTCTCTCTCTCCCTCTCTCTCTCCCAGTCTCTCTTTATTTTTCTCCTGCCTTCACTGCAACATCCTCACCGTCCTGGAAACAGTCCCTGCAGCAGACTTGCAGAGTCAGAGTTGCCGCCTCTCCGGATTTGGCGTCCAGCAGCAGTGGCAGACGTGGAGAAAATGACACAAGCTGTGCAGACAGTCGGTGCACACACCTGCCTCCTGTTCAGTGCGCTGACATACGCGACAGAGTCAGGGGGGGAGAGAGAGAGAGAGAGAGAGAGGAGGAGAGAAGGAGGGTCCCCGCTCCTCCCATCCTCATCCTCCACCTTCTTGCTTCTCCTCACCGGGTTTGTGGTCCATCAAAATGATTTCTTGGTTATATTGCCACCTAGTGTTCAATCATTTCCAAACAAGTCGTGGTGAATTGACATACCCAAGCACAGTTCAGAAAACGTTTTTATTAATTTGATTATCCTTTTATAATGAAAATTCTGTTACTTCTCAGGTTCAAATTGGCTTTTGTTGATACATACAATTTCCCAGTTAAATTTAGGCCTACTTTAAATTATTACTTATATTATTGTTTGATTGACTAAAGTAATGGATTCAATATTGTGGCATCTAGAAAAAATGCTCAAATGAAACTAAAATTGACGAATTTTAGGGAAATGGAAAAGATAATATTTTCTGAGGACTTTTAACAGCTTTTTTAATTCAAACTTCACATCCCAGACGTCTCTTCTTTCAAAACGCACACGCGTCTCGATGACGTCATTGCTGGGACAGCCAATCGGAGTGGAGGGACCGAGGAGTAACACGTCAGTGTAGTAAAGTGCAGCAGCCGGCTGATAGCTGGGAGTGATCCCTCCTCATCGTCGTCCTTCTCTGCCTCTCAACAGTCGTCGGCGTTTGGCCATCATATGCTCTAACATTTTCTTGATAAGAGAGCACCCCGTCGTTGTTGTTCCCCACCGAGGCAAAGCCCAACATTAAGGTAAGCGGAAGACTATATTTTTGTTCGAAAATATGTCGCCGGTTTTTGTGTGTGTAGACTTAAGATTCGACAGGAAGTGGGTTAATGCTACATTCTGTTAGCACATCCGACGGCTGCTGTGGCACCGCAGACCTGTTTGAATATAAGATTAAGTACAGGTTCGTTACGGAACGGCTTTAGCCTGATTCGTAAGCAGATCAGCTGCCAACCAGTGGATGAAAAATATCGTCCTGTTAACGATGTCACGCAGGAATACACAGTTATATCATATTTGAATCGTTTTTCTAGTACATGCTGTTTTAGACGATTATCTTCTTTCACTAGGAACTTTACAGTTACTTTTGTCAATGATAGGCTACCTAATACCTGTCATTTCCACTCGCTGTGCTATCAGGTTTGTTTACTGTGTAATTTTACTCCCATTTAATGACTGCAAACTGTATTTGTGTTTGGACGAAACCATGTTCTCTAAAAATGCCCCCAGTAACATCACCCCGGCTCTCTCTATCTGATAAGGAGGTCAAAGGTCGGTTTACATAAGGAAACACAACTTACAGGACAACAGTCACTTTTACCCACTAATGTGACAGGCATACTGGAAATCCTACATGCCATCATTTAAATTATAATACAATGTAAGGCATGAAATATGATGCTGACACTCTACTAGAAATAGTTTTTAAAGCTCACTATAAAAACAGCACAAAAATAGTGTTATTTCTACTTATGTCTATTTGGGGGTACATTATTTTATTTTTGTGTACAATGTTGTTTAAGTGATTTAATGTGCAATTTAGAACTCTACCAATTTCCACATGTAAATTGAATTGTTACTCAAAGAAATTTTTTTGTCTTCATTTACACACGTTCCCTGTCTTATTTTTTATACATCATTTTTTTGGGATAGAAGGCTTTAATTTAAGCTTCAATTTAATTTTCTGTAGGACTAATCTTTAAAAAAGAAAAAAGTAATGATTAGTAGATAAATCAGTCAACTGTTTGGTAGTTAACAATTGCTTTGTAGCAGATTAGTTTGCAAAAATGCGGAAACCCATTGACTGTTAGACTAAAACAAAATTTGATTTTTTTTTCAAAGGCACTAGCATTAACAATTACAAAAATGTAGTCATATGCATGCATTTGTAAACCATTATCTTTGAACTTTGGACAGTTTATCATCTTGATTTCTCACAGGCTGTAAAATATTTCTGACAATGACTGCGTTTTACAGCTAGAAATGGACTATTAATAGTTGTTCAACTGAAGAAAAGGCTGGTGGATTAAGTCATGTCAAAACATTTTGTTTGTTTGTTTTTTTGCCACATGCTAAGAAGTCATATATCCTACTTAAGTCCAGCAGCAGTGGCAGACGACACCTGATAGTTTCTGGTGTACCTTGAAGATCATTTTTTGCTAAGTGGAAAAGAGAACCACTTAAAATGAAGAGAATTATCCTGCCAGATTAAACACAAACTGGTGAGTCAACAGTTACCTTTGAATAAGGAGTAGCCACATCTTTTATACACAGTTTTAAACACCAAGCCTGTTACTGTATTACCACTTTATTGCAGCACCTCCCATAAGTCTACAACATTCTATGCTTTCTTTGGAATGGGTTGCTGTCAGCAATTTGTTAGTTTGTTTATTGATAACTCTTGTTGCACAGACACATTCAAATCAAACAGGACACAACAGTGAAAAAAGTCACAACAGTTTGAACGAAATGAAGTGTGTCTGTGCAAATTAATCTGTGGCAAGGTTTGTTTTACCTTTTCCCTTTTTTTTTCGTTATACATTGCGAGTTTGACTATCTATGAAACATGTAGACAATCTAGACAGTAAACTGTATCTTGGGTCCTCTGTTTTCATTAGTTGTTGGAAACCAACCTTTTCCACATTGTTTTTAGCAATGCAAAATGGCACGCCCCGTGTTATCTCCTTCTAGCGCTTACTTTGACGCTGGTGAGGAAACAGGTTGACTGAGGTGACATTTACCCAGCAGTAAGTCTACAGATCCCAGAGCTATAGTGCCAATATGGCCTTGCATTTAGGTCAGTACTTCTCAAATAGGCGGTGGGCCGCCCTAGGGCGGAGTGATGAGGTGCCAGGGGCTTCCAGTGGAATACGGACATAGGTGTACCACTGCTGTAACGCATGAATGATAACAAGCCTCCAGTCACAAGGTGGCAGCAACTCACACAGTGGTTTGTACAGATAAAAAAAATGTACACATTATTAGGTTCTCAATAGTGTTTCAATTTGCAGGGGTGTGGGTCGGGGGACCACGAGGGACGTGAAAATATTTCTGTCCCCGGGAAGTTTTGGGCCGGATAACTCTGGGCTCTTGGTATATGGGTCCCAGAACAGAGAAATTTGTATCCTTTGGCGATATATGGCTGTGTAAGTGTTTCAAGTTTGTGAGAGTGCTTCGCCCACAAAAATACAATGTCGACTGGACTGAAATTTAAGAAGAAACACATGTTCTACAACACACCATCAAGATGAACAGTATTAAACTCTGAAGATATTGTTTATAGTTTTATAACTTTTGGAAGTTACACCTTAGTATATTTGTCTCTGCATTTTTTCATATTAATAAGTCCATCATTTGAATTAGTTACAAATAAAAACAGATGTCAACATCAACCTGCAGAAAATGTACTTTCTGTTTCAGCAATGTTCAGAAAAAAATCCTTTTTGACCTCGATTAATCAAATTAAACAGGTTTTTATAGTTCGATTTTGTGAGAATATGCATGTCTTTGCACAGTTGGTGGCTTCTTTTAAAATAGAGACGTGTTTTTCAAGTACATACCCTTTGTTAAGTGCTGGTTTTAATAGTTACTACAGGTAAACCTAAAGGCATTTAATGATTACTTTGGAAATTGTATCTAAAATACTCCTTTCTGTTGGCGTCATGGAGGTTTGTCACACGTCAGCCTCTGAGAAAGCCTCTGGGTTCAGCTGGAATTCCTCAGCTTTGTTCCGTCCCATTAGGACCTGTTGGACAGGTTTTCTAAAGACACTTTGTGCGTCACATCCTCAAATACGTCTTATATTAGCAGCTGAGAGAAAGAAGCACATGTATAAAGCGCAGGCGCTCAGTGGAAACACTCAGCAGAGTTAGTGTTTGTTAGTGACGCCGAAAACCACCAGTGTGGCTGGTGCTTCTTCAATCCTTCAATCGAACCAGCCGCTTCACCTGTGGTGTCTTGGGCTCTTTGTTCTTTTAGTGAAGCACAGTGATGGCGACGTACCAGGAGTTCATTCAACAAAACGAAGACAGGGATGGGGTGAGATTCAGCTGGAACCTTTGGCCGTCCAGCCGACTGGAGGCCACCCGGCTGGTGGTCCCCGTCTCCTGCCTCTTCACACCCCTAAAGGAGAGGCCCGACCTACCACCCGTCCAGTATGAACCTGTTCTATGCAGCCGGGCCAACTGCAAAGCAGTGCTGAACCCACTCTGGTGAGTCTGGGCCAAATAACGTGTTTATTATTTGAAGGTGTTATTTCTGTATTTGTAAAAGTTTTCAATTAAATGGCTTTAAGTTTTAAAGATAGCTTTTGCAAATGTAAATTTGTTTTTAAACATTTTCGTCTTTTTAAACATTATCGATCTCCTTTACAGTCAAGTGGACTTCAGAGCAAAAATATGGGCATGCAACTTCTGCTTTCAGAGAAACCCAGTAAGTGCTGGTACTAACCTGCCAATGACATACTGTAGACCTTATACTGGTGTTTAACATGACACGTTGACAAGTCTTTAGTAATACTGAATCACTTTTGCCTGAGGACACACATTCATGTTTAATATTGTTTCCTCTCTCTCATTGCAGTTCCCTCCGTCATATGCTGGTATCTCAGAAATGAACCAACCAGCTGAACTGATGCCTCAGTTTTCTACCATTGAGTACATAGTGCAGGTAAACACACATTCACGTCTGCACCCTGACCTCAGGCGTTCACTTTGTGCTGTGGAAAGTTAAATATTTACAGTTTCTAATTGAAACCATATTTTAATGTTTCGACCTGAGGGTGATCTTATGTACGTACTGACAGGAACCGCTGACTGAATCCTTGATACAGTTAAATGTCTGTGGTTCATTTGCAGATCAAACAGGTCATGATGTAAATCAAGCAATTTTGAAAATCTAATGATACTTGTGTTCAAAGAATGAATTCTGTAAAATGCTACTGAATTAAATTGGTTGTTGATAGTAAATCTTATAAATTTGAGAGATACATAAACTTTAAATTATAATGTTTATAATTTGAACTGATCCAATAATATTTATGCATGTGCAAATATTTTTCAAAACTTTCAGCTGACAGGAAGTTGTAATTTTTCGTCTTTGCTTATACAAAACTATTGTTCCAATTGAGGAAGTGAGAATTTTACATCATCCAACTCTACAATTCTGCTTTCTCATAGCGTGGACCTCCATCCCCTCTGGTCTTCCTCTATGTGGTGGACACCTGTCTGGAAGAGGAGGACCTTCAGGCCCTGAAAGAGTCCCTCCAGATGTCCCTCAGCCTCCTGCCGCCCAACGCCCTGGTGGGCCTGATCACATTTGGACGCATGGTCCAGGTTCACGAGCTCAGCTGTGAAGGCATTGCCAAGAGTTATGTGTTCAGAGGCACCAAGGACCTGTCCTCCAAACAGATCCAGGTGACGTGGACAGTCAAACATGTTGACCCGGAGGATCATAGCAAACAAGAATTTTAGGTCCACGGTAAAATGCGACACTGACGAAAGACTTTGTCTTGTGTTTTACAGGAGATGCTTGGTTTGACCAAGCCCGGGACAGCAGGACCCCAAGGTCGCCCAGCGGCTCCTCAGGAAGCTGCTGCCTCCTGCAGGTAACGATAGAACAGCAGTTACTCCTCTGACATGTTTTTCTAAGTCAAACAGAACTTTTGTTGATTAATTTAGTTTTTACTGACGTGTATCTTCGTGTGTTCAGGTTCCTCCAGCCTGTGCACAGAGTTGACATGAATCTGACTGACCTGCTGGGTGAGCTTCAGAGAGATCCCTGGCCCGTCCCTCAGGGCAAACGTCCTCTCCGCTCCACCGGGGTCGCTCTGTCTGTGGCTGTGGGTCTGTTGGAGGTGTGTGTCTACACCAAAAAAACACTGAACATGAACAGATGTTATCACTGCTGGGCTATTAACATGCTACGAACACTTCATAAACCTAATCCTGGCCCCAATTCTAGTCCTAACTCCAGACTAAACCTTGAATCTTGAATACTCTCTTACTCACTGGGTCCCTTATTGACCCTAATAACCCCTAACCATATCAGAATACCCTCAGGTGTGGGTCTCCAAAATCTCCCCACAAGTATTGCTACAGCAGGAAGACTATTCTTTTTGCAGCAAAAGTCAATGTTGTGCTTTTTTCCCTGAAGTAAAACTCTTGTTTGTTTTCTCTCCTGTTCTTCCTGTTTTATTATTCATTATGCAAATCTCTGTGTTGTTAAAAACTACATGTTCAAACTTGGCTCCGTGCCTTTGACTCGACTCCAACGGACTTGATTAACAGGTCATTAATTAATCAATTCATCATCAGTGGCTGTTTTTCTTTTCTTTTAAATTGTTCTTTGTGAATGAGTACTTATTACCAAGGAACTTAGCTCAAACACAGAGTCACAGCTTAGGAGTAACAGTGTGGTCCATCAGCTCAGTTACTGTTTGGACTCTTTCCAAACTATGATAATGTCCAACAGAGTTCCAGATGATTAGACTCTGAACTTTGTTTGTCATGTTGGCCTCAGGATTGCCCTTTAGCTACACCGTAATACATGCTTTTTACAGCGTGTTTGTGATGACTGCGTTAGTTTAGACAAACTATACCGTACGACCAGAGGAAGACAGAACCTTTGGGTCTGAGACTGAGACTGACCTCACTGTCATCTGACTGCATGGTCTACATTTTCAGTAATTTAACAATAGGACTCTCTGACTGACTTGAGTGACTGGGTCTCACCTCATCATGATTACACAAATGGCTGTAATCCAAGATGAAGTTGGTTCAGGAGCAATCCTCCTCATCCACATTCTGTATTGAATGAAAACGTAATTCATTAAAATAAAGAAAATGGCCACTTTTCTCTGGTGCAAATCCACACACCCCAACCCACTAGATGGCAGTAATGCATGTAATGTTTGTCAGCCAGAAGACAATGCACCTAGTGATGATAAAAATTGAATAAAAATGTCCTTGATTTCTGAACTAAAACCGAACTCCTCTGCTCCACCACAGGGTACTTTCCCTAACACGGGGGCTCGAGTGATGCTGTTCATCGGAGGCCCTCCCACCCAGGGCCCAGGCATGGTCGTGGGTGACGAGCTGAAAACACCTATCCGCTCTTGGCATGACATCCAGAAGGACAACGCTCGTCATCTGAAGAAAGCCACCAAGGTAAGTGGAGCGTTATGGATTTATTAATAAACAACATGAAACCTTGTACTTAAACAGTGTCTCTGTGCTATTTTGGTTTGTATTGAACAGTACTATGAGGCACTTGCTAACCGCTCAGCAGTGAACGGCCACAGTATTGACATCTACGCCTGTGCCCTGGACCAGACTGGACTCCTGGAGATGAAGTGTTTATCTAATCTCACTGGGTATGTGGCATCAGCCTTTATCTCTGCATCAGTACAGGGTGTGCTTTTAAACCTTTTTACAATTGTAATCATGGTTTCTGCTTTATAATTGTTGCTAATATTAGAGGCCACATTGTGATGGGAGACTCCTTCAACACGTCTCTGTTCAAGCAAACCTTCCAGAGAGTCTTCAGTAAGGACTATAATGGAGACTTCCGCATGGCCTTCGGAGGTGTTCTGGAAGTCAAGGTAAAGGGACATTCATGTAGAGTCAAAATGAGTGTTGATTATTGTGTCTCAGATTTCAGTGCTATTGATTTTCTGCAAACGCAGAACCCTTAATTTAACGGGCAATATTGAAGAAAAAAATGTTTTTGAATTACCAACTACAGGTAATAACATTGGTGAATTGATCAGGGAGTCGACACTAAAATGGTAAAAGTTTAGGTGAATTACCAAATAACTGATTGTACTTGTTACTGCAGTTTTAAGCAGTGAAACTTCAGCTCATTTAAGTTTACGGTCTTTTGTTTCATAGACATCCAGGGAGCTGAAGGTCTGTGGAGCCATTGGACCCTGTGTTTCACTCAACTCCAAAGGATCCTGTGTTTCAGAGACTGTGAGTGACTGTTCCAGACAAAGCCCTGTTTATTCTGACTCCTGTTTATCTGAGAGCCGTCCTTCTCAACACAATACTCTCTCTGTTTGTTCTTCTAGGAGATGGGCATCGGTGGCACAAGCCAGTGGAAAGTGTGCAGCCTCACTCCCTCCACCACTTTAGGCCTTTACTTTGAAGTGGTCAACCAGGTAAAGAACACACGGCAACCAACATTAGCCGTTAAGTGGACAGGATATCAGAACATTAATGACGGAGCATGTACAACAGGGGCTTTTGTTGGGGTTTTTCTTTGAGCTAAAAGGCTCCTTCCCACCTTATGTGGTTCTTGCCTCGATGCTTAACTGAACTTTATTTAGAACATTGAAATAAAATCACAAGTCAGTTAGAAATAATTGGAATTTGCAATTGCGCCCACTTATAGTGACCTGCCCCCCACTTTGAGAACCACGAAATTAGTGTTAAAAAAATTCAATAATTGTTAACTATCACTTTTTCTATCGTTTGTGTTTGTGTAGCACAACGCCCCCATCCCACAGGGTGGACGAGGAGCGATACAGTTCGTTACCCAGTACCAGCACTCCAACACACAGAGGAGGATACGGGTCACCACCATTGCCAGGAAGTAAGACTCTGCTTTTGTGTTGCAAATCAACATTGGCGTCACTGCGGTGGGCGTTCACGTCCCAGCCTTTAGTCCTCTCTTGTGCGTCACTGCTGCCACACCCACATGCTTACCTGCACTTTTGCATTCTTCGTGTCTCCCCCTCCCTCCCCCAGCTGGGCAGATGCACAGTCTCAGATTCAGCACATTGAGACCTCGTTTGACCAGGAAGCTGCCGCTGTCCTCATGGCCCGTCTGGGAGTTTTTAGAGCTGAGTCGGAGGAGGGGCCGGATGTTCTGCGTTGGCTGGACAGGCAGCTCATTCGCCTGGTGAGTGACCACACACACGCACATACACACACACGTCACACTCTGCTTTGAGGAGTGCCACATAGTTGCCATTGCTTGTCACACTCTGCTTAGAGGAGTGCCACATAGTTGCCATTGCTTGGATTTGTGCAGTGGGAGTAATTGTTCTGTGTCTAATAACACAGTGAAGTGTGAACGACAGTGCAGTGATTCTCTAAACGCAGCATTCTAACTGTGGTTGTTTGTTTGGTTCAGTGTCAGAAGTTTGGACAGTTCAACAAAGAAGATCCTTCGTCCTTCAAGCTGTCAGAGTCTCTGTCCCTCTACCCACAGGTGAGCCTGCCTCCTAGTGGTAATAAATGATGCATCAGTCACCATTTCAATTGTCTGACTGTTGGTTTTGTTTTGTTTTTTCTAGTTTATGTTCCACCTGCGCCGGTCACCGTTCCTGCAGGTCTTTAACAACAGCCCCGATGAGTCTTCCTACTACAGACACCACTTTGTCACTCAGGACCTGACCCAGTCCCTGATCATGGTCCAGCCCATTCTCTACTCGTACTCCTTCCATGGACCACCAGAGGTCAGCATCACACCTTGTACATCAGCTTTAGCTCAGTCCTGCCAGCCTGACACTTCTCACAATGTGAATACTGTGTGCATTTATTTATTTTTAATGTTTTTTTTTTTCCCTCCACAGCCTGTTCTCCTGGACAGCAGCAGCATCCTGCCCGACCGTATCCTGTTGATGGACACTTTCTTCCAGCTGGTCATCTACCATGGAGAGGTGACAGAGCAGGACACTTTGGTCTGAAGACGTTATAAAGTTTCTGTCACCGCTGCCTCGTGCTCATATTTCCTATTTTGTTTTTAAAGACCATAGCCCAGTGGCGAAAGGCCAGATACCAGGAGATGCCGGAGTATGAGAACTTCAAGCAGCTGCTTCAGGCTCCTCTAGACGATGCCCAGGAGATCCTACAGACACGGTTCCCCATGCCGCGCTACATCGACACAGAGCATGGCGGCTCTCAGGCTCGCTTCCTGTTGTCTAAAGTCAATCCATCACAGACGCATAACAACCTCTACGCCTGGGGACAGGTACTGCAGACTCTTTTATTCAATAGTCACATACAGCTAAATGGCCCCGTGCATGTCTGGCAGCTGGTTTCAAATGTTTAGAAAATCACTGATGACCCCTCCCCTTCTGTGTCTTCTACAGGAGACTGGAGCTCCCATCCTCACTGATGACGTCAGCCTGCAGGTCTTCATGGACCATCTGAAGAAACTGGCCGTTTCCAGCTCTGCATAAATGTCTCTAGTCCAACACTGAGCAAAGACTGAGGCGACATTCCTGGTATTTTTTTTATTTTTTTTATTTTTTTTTTTTTGGGAATCCATCAACATTTCTCTTATGTATCAGTAAAGGAGCCAAACCCACAGTCTGTTTTATTTCTCCTGCTATCCTGACTTTATTTTATTATTTTTCTCTATTTTTGAGTCATGTGACACAAACATCACATTCCTCACTTACAGAAAAACTTCTGTTCATTTTCTTTTAACTTGTTTATTTATAATGAAAAAAAGGCTCCTTTACTGTGTCCTCATGAAGCAATACCAACGTCTTTATAACTGTTTTGTATCTGACCTCAGCGCTGACCTGCAGGATGATTCAACTAATGACTAAATGTTTCTTTGTTTGTGAACTTATTGCATCACAAATGGTTTGAAGGTATTGTTAATAAGACGTGTGAGTGTATGTGTGTGTGAGTGTGTGTGCGGGCGCGCATGTGTGTGTAAATGCTTTGTCTATAGCTAAGGATGAAATGACTAGATTTTTTTTTTCTCATGAATAAATTATAATGGTACCTTTAATACTGGTTGTCAAATGTTGACGTCTAACTGAATACTTAGGAAAAACACAAATTGCTTGTACCTTTAGAAAAAAATGGAGAAAACTTCTCATGTTTTGAGAAAAACAGAAGCCGGTCACAGAGACCGCCTCTGCTTTCAGTGACAAACTGAAGTTATTTTTAACTTAAATCATCCCAACACGTTGCTCATCTGGGATTTTACACCAGATCACTGGTCCAGTGTCAGTGTAATCAGAGTGTGATATAAATACTATACCATGTGTCGAACCATGTGGAGGAGGAGTCACTTGTCTGATTTTAATCTGTCCTACAGTCTGCTGGCCCTATTAAAAAAAAGAAAAAACAATAATTACATTTTGAGGCCTATGTTTTTTTGTTGTCTGACTGTACACCAACCTAACATCCAACACAGATGCTACAAAACTGCAACAAGGAAAACGCAGACTTTTTTGACACTTGATTTTCATTGTTTGTGTTGAATTCTCAGCTACCCTGGAAACAATAATAAAAAAGTGAATTGTTTGGCCGCTTTAAAAAAAAAAAAAATTGGCTTGCAGTCTTTTGGAGACAGGATTATTTCTTCCACATTTCCACAAAAGTATGGAAAATGAAAACCTATTTCTCCAGTGGAGAAATTAAATTATCCTGGAAATTTGGAGCCAATCACTTCTTTGCTTCTAGCTAGAGCAACGCCCCCATGTGACCCTACCAACCAACCAAATTTCTATATCCTTTTCCATTTGGTTGGTATGGTCACATGGAGGCGCACAAATGTTTATCTCTGCTAACTTACACAGTTAATAAAAGCACGTCACCTTAAAAAAAAAAACATAAATTTGACCTCGGCTGAAGCTGCCGATCGTCACTCTTGATGTTCACTTCAGGCTGCAGGCCACGGTTTGAGCAACAGAAGACGCAGGGCCCCAGTCTCCCTGATCTCTCTGAACAGATCACCAACAGCTCACGGCGTTGTAGTTCAAACTGTGCCATCTTCCCTCTACAGATTGAAAAACGACGTTCCACCTAAAACCGTCGTCTTTTCATTTATTTGTTTGTTTCGTTATTGACACAGCACACAACTGCAATCATAACAGCATCAACTGTCGTCATAAGCTGATTTCAGATCAGCCAGACAGTATGACTTCAAGGATCAGTGGATGGCAGATTATGGGGATTAATCTTCACGGGCAGATTCTACTCTTAGCAGCTTTCAGCGAAAGTTGCTGCCCAAGCAGGGATGAAGTCTGCGTCTGTCAAGGAGCTTAGGTCCAACCACCTTGTCCTCTGAAGCCACATATGCTCCAAAGGTGTTCACAGCTACAGAATAAAAGACTGTGAACACTGTCCAGTGATGCATGAGACTCACCCTGAATAGCTATGGCCATGAACTGATCTCAGAAAAGCAAAATAATCTTTTTAATCCACACGGCTGCTATGTGCTCAGCAATCTTCCCCACATGTGGAGGCTGCAGCTGTGCATGTCCAGAGACAAAAGAACATTTACTCCACCTTCCATCTTTTTTTTTTTGTCAACCTCCTCTCAACCATTCATGATGCTCAGCTCTAATGCCACAGCCGTAAGGACACATGTCATATCCTGTCCAATAGTGACGGCTGTGTTTGGTATCAGCAGCCAGTCAAACCCACTCTGGCTTCTGTTCATCATAACTTATGTAAGATTTCTTTTTAATAACAGAATATGTCACTGTACTGTATTGAGACGACGTGTATGTCACTAATATCTGTCCATCTCTGCCATTAGGATTAAAGGGCTTTAAACCAGCGTTTGAATGGATATTAAAATGTGTTCGCAGCCCCATGATTTTATAATCTCACTAAAAAAAAAGTATTTTTTATTGTGGTGAATATAAATGTTAGACAGCTGCAGGAAAAGGAAATTGTGAAATATTCTTTTTTTATTTTTGTAACAATTGACGACATTAGCCAGAAAATAATAAGCGAAGCTACAGTCACAATGTCAAAGGAATTCTTAAAGTCAACCTAAAATTTACATTAAAATGAATTTAAAATGTATCTGACATGTATTTTTGCCATTAGGTACATTTGTTTTTACATTTTATAGGTACATTACATTATTTATTATTTTATAGGTACATTACATTTTATTGTTACCATGTAAATAAAATACAGTAAATAATAAACAAGAATGGCAAAAAAAAGAAACAGAAGCAGAACCATCCAAAATCTATTTCACTCTGGATAGTTATAAAAACTGTCCACGTTCACACTCCCATTCACACACTCCTCTCACACACCAGGCTTTATACTGGTCTTTCTCTAACTGTAAGGCAAATAGCACTGACCACTGCTACACCGTGTGGCCATTTGCTTAACAACAATGTTTTTTGAAACAACATAAATTTGTGCTGTGTTTTATAATATTTCATCTCTATTATGTCTGTTGTTAGACGGTAGGACGAAGCTGAAGAAATAAGAATAAAAATATGTGTGTTTATGACATACACAGTGTTGTGTGTGTGTGGGTGTGGTTTCTGTTGTTCTAGTTTAAATTGTAGACTAAATCTTCTCATGTTCCCTTCCTAGCAGGTGAGAGATGCCCAGGCGTCATTGGTGTGGCTCCAACGTCACAGGAAGGTGATTGTTTTTGTCTGCGGGTGATTAACTGTCCTGTCATTAAAAAGTTCTCTGCAGGCACACACTCATGACTCATGTGGAACACTTACTGAGACGCTCCACACAGCAGTAAGAATCAGCACTCGAACTGCAGGTTGTTGGCGCTTAAGCTGAAGGATCGCAGGGCGAGATGCTAGCCTGTCCTAGCCTGTGTTAGCCTGTGCTATTTGTCTCTAGACCTGCTTAAAACATATCATTACAGAACAAATCTTACAAACCTCTAGTTTTTTTTAAAACATCAACAAAGCATGCTGAGTGTGAGGGTACATTTTCTGTAGCGCCCCCTATTGTCAAGCCCTTCTGTGTTGAAATATTCATTTTAGTCTTAGCTTCAAACACTGTAATCCCTAATACACCTGCTATTGAACAAAAAAAATGTATTTGTTTTGCAGTTCCAGGTGGGGTCCTGTCTTGGAAATCACGGTGTTATTTATTACTTGGTTTATATACAGTGAGACTACTGGATACAGTCGATGAGGTGAAAGCTAGCGCAATTACTGTTTACCTTCTGTTTTTTTTTTTATTATTATTTTTCTGGTTTGTTTTGACTGAGGGTTTTTTTCCCCCTAATTAGATCAAATTCTTGGGAATCGACCTGCCCTGACCCTGAGGTCTTCCAGAAATGACAAAAACCCTCAGCATTAAGACACTTGTTAACCAGAGGCTGAGGATTATCTACCTGTCAGCATCATCATCATCCTACTGGTAAGCTCTGTTTACTAAAGTCTCTGACTCCCAATACGCTGCCCATACTGACGGGGTTACCGAAGGTCACGGGGCACAGCCTAAAATAACCTGCGCTAACAGTGAGAGGTGTGGACCTGTTCCACACAGTGTCTCCTACAACAGAACACACAATTACAGCCATTGTTTGTTTGGGTATTAGCATGTACAGTATGTTAATGAGACTGTAGTGCACGTTTGACGTGGAAGCCAACAATCATGTGTCATTACTACAGCAACCTCTTTACTCCTCCGTAATCGGTGACTGGTGTGTACAACTACAACATGCAGCAGCAGCAGCAGCAGCAGCACTGCTACATATTCATACAGTCATTATAAAGGTGTGACTCTGACTCAGTTCAGGCCGAGGTCACATGACACTATTGTTTATTGACACCGGCTGGACTAATTAGAACACGTTCTTTATTCAGAACATTTCCACCATACTTTGTACTTCTACCATGTCTTTTTTTAGAGGAAATCTCATGTGATTTAAGTAATCAACTGCTTTCTGAGGTGAAATCAGCAAATATGAACAACCAGGCATTTTAGTTAGTACCAGGTGATTGTGAGGACTAGAACTGATGTTCAGGAACGTCAGGCTGTGTGTTTTCTTAGTAAAACAGCCCTGTGTATGGCTGTGTGTTACATTATCATTGTCACTTCTGTCTAAAGTGACTCATGTGATTGTACAGGTTTGACTGAGTCTTTTAAAAGGGCTTATTAAGACAAACAAATCAGGTTGCATTGCACTTGTGATGACATTTTGAGCAGGTTTACAGGGTAAAGTCCTGGTCTAACAACTTGCCCTGTTAGGCTTTATGTTACTGTTGACTGTCAGCACCCCTCTATCACAGCTAGAAGGTCACCACAAATGGAGTTCTCATGTCATCAGTATATGCAATACTTTATTATTAATTACTTTATCACTTTAAACTGACTTTTGATCTTTACTAACAGCCTCTAACTTGGCGAAATGGTGGATGATGGATGGACAATGTGGTGACTGATACAGGAGCAGGAATTGGCTGATGGGAGAAGAGAGAGAGGGAGAGAGAGAGATGATCCATGCGTAAATCCCAGTCCAGAGTCAGAGTGAGGGTCAAATCCTTTGACAACGTGACGTCCTACAGACGCGTGCTGAACAGCGTGTTAGCTTCGACGATGGTAGAGTTGTGACATTTCGACACTGGGCTGATCTGAGTGACACGCGGCACCAAATGGGACCCTCAGCCGACCTGCCGTGTTCGGGAAACAGCAGCAGCTCGCGCGTCTCCTCGGCCCTGGACACATGAACTTTTCGGCTCCTCGGCGCAGCCTCGTCCTCTCTGCATCGTCTCCAGACGGAACATGAAGACCACTCGCAGATGCAGGACCCTCCTGTCGGTGAGCCTCAACTTCTTCGCCCTCTTCTTCTCCATCACCGCCTTCATCACCACCTACTGGTGCGTAGGAACCCAGAGAGTACCCAAGCCGAAGTGCAGCAAGCTGCGGACGCACCAGTGCATCGACTACGGCGTGAATGAGACCGACCCCAACAAGGTGGTCTACAGCTGGGAGACTGGGGACGACCGCTTCCTCTTCCGCCAGTTTCACACCGGCATTTGGTTCTCATGTGAGGAGAACATCGACGACGAAAGTAAGAGTCAGAGACGTGTTCTGGTTCTAAAATGTTGGGTCAGAAACCATAAGTGAAAATGTAGAGACAGTGGCGGCCCTGGACAATTTGGGGGCATTAGGTAGACCCTGGACCCCCAGAAAAAGTTTTTATACACATCAATTGTCATATATATATATATATACCGTATATATATATATATATATATATATGTATGTATGTATGTATGGTAAAACTTTTACCAACTTTTCCAGGTCTCCTGTAGAAAAGAGAACGTCTCAATCTGGCCCACGGGACATGACTTTAACACATGTGATCTATTGGTTCGTTTGTTGTGTTTTTAGAACCAGAATTTTATGTTGATCACATTTACAGTTTAGTTTGTCAAACTAATTTTCACCGGCGGCCATATCAGTAATTTAGTTGCCCTTGAAGGGCAGGTTGTAAATAAAAGACTGTATAGATCAGGGACCCCTGGTCCGCGAAGGTCATTTGGTGCCGGGCCACAGTGGGACACAGTGAATCCTTCAGTCCTTAGGTTAAGAAACTCTGCTGCATGGACTTTACTAAATGCTTTTTAAGCTCCCGCGGGCCACAAAAGACAGCTTGGTGGGCCGCATTTGGCCCTCAGGCCTTAAGTTTGACACGTACGGTTTAGACCAATCTGATAAGCGATTGTATAACATAAAAATGTGTCTTTTCCACGGTCATATAGTACCGTGGCTGAGTTCCCAGGAGCGTGTGGCTGTGACTGATGTGTGCACGAGCGTCACTCAGGGAAATGGAAAATGAAATTCACCAGGTTGAGGCAAAGATTTAATCACAAGCCGGGCTGTACGCAGGAGGAGTCGAGCTGTGTCAGGGCTCGGGTCAACGGTGTGAAAGGTTCAGGTCGCTGGCCCGGACTGGGCCCTGACTGTGACATATTTTTACTGGGCTTTATAATGAAAAGCCGTCACACTTTGAGATTAGTGCAGGAGGGAATTGCGAACACATGTTTATCTCATCAAGTGTCTGTCGGGTGGAGGGGCCGGAGGAGGTGCAGGCCGGGCACAGCTCGCCTTAATAAAGATTATGTAACAGTGGCCTTGATGAGTTTTTCCTCAAAACAGCTGTTGCCAGCCTGCGTTGGTGCCTGATTAAAATGTTCCACTTACAACCAATCTGGAAACACTCGTGCAAACATCACATCTGCAGCAAAGTGTCAAAGGTCACGATGTTGTCCATTTACCATGAGCCCTAACTTTTATGCTAAGGTAGCTTCAAGGCTTATGCGTTACTACAGTGTTTATTGTTATCACTCCATTGATTGGCTCTTACTCTCATCTGACCGCACAGACTTCTAAAGCTAACGCTAATGGAAAACTGTATAATACTGTAATACTGTTGGGTTTTTAACAATATCTGTGAAACTTCTGCTCTTTTTGTGTTATATAAATGAACCAACATCATTTTTTTGTTCTGCTCTTTCAGGTGAGAGATGCCGAAGTTTTATCGATTTGGCTCCTGCCTCAGAGAAAGGTGAGTCTTTGTGACTCAGGTTGATTAACTGTCCTGTCATTAAAAAGTTCTTTGCAGTCACCCAAATGAATGAGCTATGTCCCGAGGAAGTTAGTAATTAGTCGTTGTCCTAGTTAATCAAACATTAGAAATACATTTGTGAACTGCACAAAATGTACTCTTTTTTTTCCTTTTTTTCTTATTATTTATATATGACTCATTATGACTTTGAGGACCGCAGCAACCCTCTGTTTTCAGAAACAAAAGATGCACTGAATAGAATAATTCAGAATAATTGGTGTAACATTTTGTAATAAGTGAGTAGTTGCCTGTTGTAGCAGAGCTTCTGTTAAAAACAAGAATTTCCCCAGTGTGAGATCAACAAAGTAAAAAAGAATATATATATATACGTGCGGTTGATGTTGTTTTTTATAATTGATGTTGTTACGTCTGCAGCGTTCTTCCCTCACACTCCAGGTAGGTTGGCTGTGAACCAAGGTGTGGGAGCAGTCACACGCTGAGTTGAGTTACTGTTGCCAAGTAGAAAGGCATGAATGGAGTGTAGTGGAGCAGCAGCTCACTGGAGGTTGAAAGTATTTGTCTCTCCAGTACCACCACATTGACCGCAGGCCTCAGCTAAAACCAAAATGTGAAGACAAGAATTTAGTTCTAATAAGATAATTAGATAATCTATCCACACAAGCCGTGTGATGTAATGCAATGTACAATGAAGTAGTACTACCACTGGTATTTCAATGCATGTCTGAAACATACAAAACATCAACACTTGAAATACCCTCTAACACAGAGTGGATCAGCTAGTCCTGCATGTCCTAACAAGGACAAAATGTCCCCATGAGGAGAAAATGTCTCCACAATTATAGCTGTACCAGGAACACACATTATGTGGAATTACATACAAGCTGTATTTACAACCAATCACTGACCTAATTCTGATGGCAACCTGATTCACCCACAAACCATGACAAAGAGTTCCATTCAGGGTAAGCGTACCCTAGTTTGGAACCACTGATCAGTGAACTAATTTGACCTTAGCTTTTAGACCATTTTGAATCTTGTACCATGTAGCCTCCAGTGCACCCCCCGCCCCCACACACACACACACACACACACATTGCCCATGGGAAATGCTATAGATAGATAGACAGATAGATGACAGACTTTCTGAGGTCACTGTTGAACCCTGAGCCTGTGTTTGAGCATCACTACTTTTTCTTGTCTTTCTTGCTAATAGAAAAAGAAAAAACAACAAAACATCACTGCCTTCCTCAGCTGTTTTTACAGAGTCCAACATGATTTTACAGGAACCTACCCAACAGTTCCTCCCCCGCTTTTTGTTCTTAACACGCTCCTTAAGTCTGTCTGTTGTCTTCTGACCAGGAGACCTCATGATTGAATGCCCACTGTGTGTTGTTTTGCAGGGATGCTGTGGCTGTCACTGGTCTCTGAGATGCTGTACATTGTTCTGCTGGTGGTGGGCTTCAGCCTCATGTGTTTGGAGCTGGTCCACTCCAGTAATGTCATTGATGGACTCAAGCTCAACGCCTTCGCTGCTGTCTTCACTGTGCTCTCAGGTAAACTGGCCTCAGTCACATCCCACCATCCAGTTCATCTGCACAAGAAGAAGTCAGGGGTTTAGGTATGGGGTTAGGGAACAAAATATGTCCATCTGAAGTCCTCCGAACTCATGAAAACCAGATTGTATGTGCATGACACTAGGCAGTGCCACCTCTAGTGGTATGTGTAGGAATTGCATATACTATGCTTAATTTTAAATTAAAGCATAATTAAAATATTTGTACTTAAAAAAAAAACAATTGCAATAGACCAACGTGGCACCAGAACACCAGGTCGCAATAATCCCTGGACTGGTCTCTGCTGATATTTAAAAATTGCGTTTAAATTGCTTGGAGTCTGTGCTTCAGAGAGAATTCTCCTGGTCCTGTCCATGATGTAGGCAGCTGACCGTTGTACCATGTGCCTGTTTCCAGGTCTTCTTGGTATGGTGGCGCATGTGATGTACACGCAGGTCTTCCAGGTCACAGTCAGCCTTGGTCCTCCGGACTGGAGACCCTACAACTGGGACTATGGCTGGTCCTTCTGGTAACTCACCCATGACTTTTTTTCTGGTTATAATAAAGATATATTTCTCTAACTGAAATATGCATGCTACCTGCAGTACTTGGGCGCCCTCTAATGGTGTACAAAGGTACACACTTAAAAATGCACTCAATGAGAGAGTGTTGACATTCACATCTTTAGCTTCAAAAGTACTCGACTGGTTTAATTTAAACGCTGTAACAAAAGTGTCTATATTTATTTTATGTTATATTTTTGTCCTGCCAGTCCTCTCATTTGCCCACAGTTTAACCAACCTCAGGGGCATGCCCCCCACTTTGGAACCTGTGTCTGGTTCCAGTGACGGGTTGGTATTGCTAATACTAAGAGTGACAACATTTTTCCAACTTAACAATATTTGAGAACAATTTGACATAAAGAAGTTTTCCCCTTTGATGCTCTGTCAGCATAAAACATAGTAGTTTATTATTGATGTTTCTGTAAAGTCAAGTCATGGTGGGATCAGGGTTTAGAATACATTAGATGAAGTGATTTATTTGTCGTTGTGACACAGCACACCACTGCACACAACTATGTGTCCTCTGCATTTCACCCGTAACCACAGTGAGCAGGCAGCAGCCTTGGTGGCAGGTGGATTCAGACCGGCGACCTTCCAGACAAAAGTCCTCTTCCTTAACCACCACCACTGTTTGGAGCGCATGTGTAAAGAATCACATAAAGTGCACAGTAATTTGACTGTGTGGTTGTACATGTGGTCCTGAATACCTGCGTCTGTCAGAGGGATTAACAGCATCCTTCACTAATCTTCTTTCACATGATCATAATATTTGGTATAAAAAGTCAAAATACACATCCTTTTTTTTGTGATAACTCCACTCTTCCCTTCTCCACCTCCCAGCATGGCCTGGGCCTCCTTCACCTGCTGTATGGGCGCCTCCGTCACCACCTTAAACTCCTACACCAAGACTGTCATTGAGTTCAGGCACAAACGCAAGACCTTTGAGCAAAGCATCCGAGAGGAGCACGCCAGGGAGGCGTTTGGATATTTCAGAGAACGCTCTGTTCATTCTATTTCTAAATCTGTGGAGGTTTACTCCAGCCGGAGCGGCCGGAGAACGCCCATACCTGCAGACTCGCTGGACCTGAGCGACATCGCAAACTCTTTAGGAGAAGAACAGTGCTGAGAAAGGCAGGACAGAAGGTGGCGCTGGAGCCTGGCAGCTGAATGGAAGATTGCAGTTGTTAGTTCCTTCTCTGTGAGCTGGATGTACCATGGGCTGTACAGGTCTGCACTGCCTTAACCTGCACAGGTCACACAGCTTGGTGTCAACAGCGGACGGTGCAGCTGAGAAGTGGAAAATAAAAAATAATCTCACCTCATGGATGAAGTTTTTGGTTTGTTTGTTTGTCAAACACACTGTAAATCTGAACAATTGTCTTTCAGTTGATAACTCACTGTGAGGGTCTTTCTGTAACTCATAGCCTAATTTTCATTTAATGTTTCAGCACTGATTGGGAAAAACTCGATTCTCACAGTGACCAGAACGTCTCTGGGTATTTGATCCTTCATCCTGTTAGGTGTACTAAAGATACTATCCACTAGGTGACAGTATTTGTCTCGATATCACTACTTTGTCTTCTTCCATTCTTATGACGGCGGTGTTATCGGTTTATTCCGCAGTTTTTACAGTACAAGTATTTTACTACTTTTTTTTTTTAAACAAAGGGAAC